CAGTGTAGATACTACATATTGTCAATAGGGCACCCATCTAAGATATGACCGTAACTTACATCAGAAGATTGAGTCCAATACCCGAAAATCTAACAGCATCATCAATCGATGGCGAAAGTGCGGCAAACATACGGTATAAGGAGGTGATGCAAATTGTCGTGAGATAAATAAACAAGACGTAGATGAAGTACTTCCCAGCATCCACGTCAAGTCCGGTTATGAAATACTATGATTTGTTAGTATAATTGCCGCACAATCAGGATTAACAAAATACGTACCACTACAATAGAGAAAGGAACAACCTGCAGGAGTAAAAGCGGGAAATCCTGAACGACACGAGCAACTACAACGGCTGACGGGCGGTAAAAAGCATAATCTTTGTGTCTGGAAATGATTGGTCTACCACCGACAGCCTTCATTAATTCAGATAACTGAAGCCATCCTAGGAACAGAATCGAGAAGAAGAGAGTACCACCCCGGGAGAAGTTTCCAAGTGTGTTGGACGATTGACCATGAAATAAGGAGCCAACAATCAAGCTGTTGGAAATTATAATGAAAAATTTGGTATATAAAGTTGTCTTGTCTCCAAGAGTCAATTCAACTTCACGCTTTGTGCAAGCAAGGACTTGACGAAAGAATGAGACTGTGTAAGGTGACCGGGGACCAACAGTCTTAGACTTCGTCTCTTCCACGGAAGCTTTGAATTGTCGTGCGTCCGCATGGTCGGTTTCGTGTAGCATCCTCTCATAAGAGTTGACATCTTCCAGAAGTAATTTGTAATCCTCGCTTTCTCTGAAGGCTTTCTCAAGTTCAACGGGGCCTTTTGGAATGGGTCCTTGGAAATTCTCTTGAAACCGGCGTTCGGCAGGATCCGTGCAAGCTGTCAGAAAGTCTGCAGTGGTCTGTCTTGGTGGGCAATAGTATCCTATTCTCTCGAAGTAGCTCTTGGCGTCACCTGCTGGTCCTGAATACACCATTCGTCCCTCATCGATTACTAATACTTTATCCATGAGCTCATATATTTGCTCTCCAGCTTGATACAGGGTGACTAGTGTCGTTCTGTTGCTGATGTCGGTCATCACTCTGAGTGAGTTAGCGTAGTCCAATGCAGTGGATGCATCGAGTCCACGAGTCGAGTTGTCCCAAGAGACGACTGTGCTCTTAGTAGCGAGTGTTTCTGCAATAGAAACTCGCTTCCGCTCACCACCAGAAACACCTCGGACGAAAGCCTGCGAAAGTTGTCAGAATATATTTTCTAAAATCGCAATCAGGTAGAGAGATTGAAAACTCACATCTCCAACGAGGGTATGACGCGTATGAGAAATACAAAACATCTTCAGAAGCGCTGTAATTATCGTTGGAATATCTCCCTTTTCGTGCTTTTTGTCTTGTTTAGGAGCGAGAAATCCAAAGTTTGTTCAACTGTAAGACTTGGAAAGTGCTGATCATCTTCCTCGGTGTAGTTTACCTCTCCTCGATAGTGTTTTGCTTGCTCTTCAGCAGAGATACCTCCGTATGAGACTTCTCCAGTGACTCCAGCAAAATCACCTCTCTTGTTGGAAATAGCTTTGAGGAATGTACTGCATCCAGAGCCAGGCCTTCCCAAGACTAAAAGCATTTCCCCATCTCTTACACAGCCAGTAAAGTCGTGAATCAAATCGCGTCTTAGGCCATTAGATCCAGGTTTAGGCAGTACAGGGATGAATCGCGTCAATAACTTGTACAAGTCGGGTCCGAAAGTCTACATTGTACAAATTAGATTGAGACACTATGTGAAATTGGAGCAGAGAAATACTTACACCCATAATAGCAGATGGAAGAGTCTTGACATATGTTGACGTCGCACCAACCCCCTGCACAGTCAAGTTTTTGTATATAACGCCGACCTTCTTAGCACTCCCTCTAGTATTTCGTTTCTCAAAATGACCGTCTCTGAGAAAGTCACCCAGTACAAATTCATCCTCGTCCTCAGCCGCCACCTCTTCGAGCTTTTCCTCTTCTTCTCGTGCCTCTATGTCTTCACCAGCGGTCGCTCGTGAACGGCGACTTGCGTTGGTTATAGTTCTCTTCATTGCCGATGTTTTTCTGGCAGTAGCTGCACTCTTTTGTGAACGAGTTCTCGACAAATGCGTGAGTTGATGGCGCAAGTCTTCGTAGTCGTGCATAGCAGTCGAGCAATTGACTGGCCCGCCCTGCTCGTTTTCTCCCCATGTTCCATCATTGTTTATCTCGCTCTCTGAGGATGAGCCGTCCTGAGGCTGAACCAGCTCTCCACGATAGTTATCTGAATGGAGTGGAATCTGAGTGCCTTCTCGTCCCTCGATAGCTCTCTCTGCGTACATCCGCTCAGCATGTGTGTAAAACATTTTGACGGTGGTCGCACGCAAAGTGCCGTGAATGGGATAGTAGAGTGTTTACAGAATAAAGATCCAATGCTAAACAGACCCTAGATATATATTAAAGGGAGGCTCAGAAAGATATATTGGAGGTATGCTAGAAACTAGTGCTAGCAAATTGATCAACCTAGCTCCAGATATTGAGAAGGATTACAAATCGACAAATCAAAAATATCAAAAGGATAGTAATTTAGGGGGCTCATGCATGCTTAGTGTGCCCGTTTTAATACTTCCAGGGAGAACTGCAGAATACCGTGAAATATTATCAGCGAGATGGACCTAGTAGTATCTGATTGTGGATGTGGTGGGGTGCAGCGTATTTTGCTTCTGATCTGTGCCCAGCTTATCAATCAAAGAAGAGAAACAATTTAACTGGAGATTGGCAAAAGATTGTGTAACTTAAATCGATGATTTTCATATCCATTAAGCTAGACGAATAGTATTTTATTCTAGAACTGGTAGCTAACATAGTGGACTGGGTATAGAGTACTAAGTTTGTGAATAGTATGAGTCGAAGGAAGTGAGAGAAGAATGATGACGAACAGGTAAGCTACCAAAGATACCATGGCAAAGTTGTAGTGTAGCGTATGACCGAAAGAGGCCCATTTCCTAGTGCGGTAGGTATATGGCACCTTTGCAATTGAGCTAGCATCCAGAAAAGGAGCTTCCCACCCGCTTGTTCTGTTGGAGATGAAAGAGGTTAACGGTGACGGTGACGGTGATAAGGGAGGTAAGAACCGAAACTAGGCAATAAGCGATCAAGCTCCAAGGAAGATCCATCCACTGATTCAACTCACTTGGCTCGCTTGGTTTACTATCTCGACTATCTATCACGAAATATACTATCTTTCTTTATTGCAACCTTGCCCTGAAGATCTTTCATGAGATTAGAAATCATGAATCCGCATTCCTCTCTTCCAGCGTATGATTGGATGAATAGATTAACCCATTTAGGCAGGTTCGAGGCAATGACTCTTGTAGCATTCTCGAGCGTTCAACAAGTTCTTTTCTTTCTCGTCCCCAGATCGATTGCTTGAGTCAAACCCTAAAAGTAAGAAGCACGGAGATGTTCAAACGGAAACGTAAATCGTTTTTCGGTTCCTCCCAGAACCTAATTTCAAAAAGTAATTCCGAATCGGCTTTTTATTTTGGAGAAGAAAATGCATCTAGGATTGACAGACAAGTTAGCCAATCAATTGTAATTGTTATGATTGATTACCCGGGTGTGAAAATACCAAGTCCGGCTAGACGGTTAGGTCTAATCGTATAATTGCATCCATGATCTTTTGAGTGGATATGAAAAATCTTATAATAACCTCAGTTACTTGTTTCAAATGTCCATTTTTTCCATTTTTAACAAACCTAATGGATCCCATATTTGGTTGTGCTTTTATCATACTTCCGCATTTCACTGCGGGAGTTGCGGACATGCAATTGATGAGAAATACAACATATCAATCACAACAATTCCCCCGTTCCTTCGTTGATCACGTATTCTTGTCAGCCCTAGTACCTTGGGAGATAACCGCTATCATTACATTTTCAGGAACTCGGGTCTAATCCCAGCGCACGTCAGCAAAAGTGATAGATATTAATATACGGTGCATTATGCACTCGACTGATTGATCTTCATGATCAAAGAAATTTCCAGAAACTGTCTCCTTGTAGCGAAATTTCGGCCGAAAGCCATTTTTCTACCAAGGAAAGCTTTCCGTGTCTCTCATTGTCTCTTATCGTCATTTGGTACAATCTACCCAGAGGATTACATAGTCAGCGACGTCGAGCGTAGTGACCATTTGACGAATCTTGCTAGCGAGTGTCTTTTCAGAATTCGAGGGTCTTAGATAGTCCACGCATTGATAAGATAGCAATCTGACCGGAGAAACTCAACATCTCTCCAGCATAAAGTTCAGCCTGATATTATTATTAGGTTACTCCTCGACATGTGGACTTTTTTCTACGCTATGCCAATTTGTTTCAGAATGACATGCCCTTTTGCTTTCAGACTCCAGAGTTGAGAACTTTCCTCCCTTTTTTCCACTGATCTGCGAGGTGTAGAGAAAACAGAACGTATGTCATATTTTAACGTAGATTATGGCATAGTATACTTGATTGTTTAATGTTTTCCCGATTGTTTCAACCCTTGAGGCAAACGCATTATCAGACTCTGTGTTTCAATCTTCTGAATGGTTTCAATATACATAAAATTTTGAACATTCAAAATGGCTCGGGTGACTGAAATGGATTAAGGTCTAGAATGAGCTTCTGCATCTAGGACAGGGACGCTAACTGAACTCTATTTGGTGTTCAGAATTGAGTACAATATCCGTCATAATGATATGCCAGGCGGATTTTGCAGCTGTTCTGCTTATCGCAGGCTGGATTGTTGCACACCTCCTACTTAAGAGACAACCTTCAATTATCATCTTTATCAAGCTTTCGACAAGTAATTTCAACCCACCAGCAGACCACGCTGTTTTCTTCAACGAGACTGGATACAGATCGAAAATATGACCCAAAGCACCCTCAATCAGAATGTTCACCGGCGGCAGTAGTTTCTTTTTGCAGTCAAATAATGCCAAATATTCGCGATTGAGAAAGGATCCCTTCAATCATATCTATATAGAAAAATAGCCAGATTTTACAATCCTGTGTTACATCAAAAATAAGAACGAGTGATTGTTTCGTCGGTCACCAGAGACCAGCTCGATCTATGAATATCAAAGCCGCCCACCCGCCTCAAAAAGGATGCCCGATACGCCGCCCTATTCACATCAGAAAGGTATGTACAAACCACTCAATCCAATTCCATCCAATTCAACATATGACTCTGAAATTGAGCAATATCACACCACTAAAGAATCTAAAGCTCTTTACATGAAAACAGCGAATGCAACACCAAGACCAGCAACTGCAGCCATCCCTCCATTATTGGATAGAGATGCGGCACCACCAGTGGAGATAGCTAATACATCGAAGTTAGCAAGATAATTTCAAGAAACTCTAAGATTGGGTAGAACAAACCTGGAGAAGTAGAAGTGGCAGAAGCGCCACCAGCCCCGGATGCCGATGCAACCCCTGAAGCTGACGCTCCCCCTTTACCTGAAGCAGAAGCGGATCCCTTGCCAGTGTTTTCAGTTCCAGACCCCTTTGTCGAGCTCCCTCCAGTCGCTTTGCAGAGCCAGCTTCTGCTGTCTCTGGAAGCCTTTCCGCCAGATTCCAGTTACCCTTGGCTGCACATTGCCATCGCTACCGGAGTTCGCTCCCCCAGTGGACTTAGCAGATCCTGCTCCTTGTGCACCAGTTGCCTTTGCAGAGCCACCATCACCTTTGGCTCCGGTTCCCTTGGCGGATCCTGACTCGTTGGAATCCTTACGGCGGTATGGACGTGTACGACGCGAGGAGGCCAAGCTGGCTTTGCACCAGTTCCGCTGGGCCTTAGCAGCTCCGAACCCGGTTGCCTTAGCAGCACCTACAGCGGTTCCGCTTCCAGAGAGACCCTAGAAATATGTTAGATAAGATGAGGGCTCAGTGGAAGACAGAAAGAACTTACGGATGAAGCAGAGACACTTGCGGCAGCAAGAGCCAAGAAGAGAGCGATCGAGAATTGCATTGTGGAAGTTTGGTATTGAAACTGAACTTGAAAAGGATTTGGATATGACGATGTGTATTTGGACTAAAAGACCTGCTTTGGGAAAGACCAGCTTCGTATGGGGATGAGTGGATGAGTGGATGAATGATGAGGATAATGAGTTGGAAAGCACGGTTATGAGAGTCCGCCTATAACTTGTCAAAGCCCTTGGCAACATCAATCAAATATCCGAAATAGAAGCATAAACTTCAACTACCCGCTAAAGGATATCCCACATAATTTGCAACACAGAAGCATTGGTCAACTGAAGATCCAGTTGGACTCCAAGACAAATTTAATTGGGACTTCTCCGCCCTTCATACCCTTATGTTGAACGTTCTATTCTTAGGAGTCAACGCAACGAGGAGAAGAGAAGCTGCAGGCGAGGAATTCATGCATGTTCGCCAACTTCCCTGTTAGCAACCAATTCAAAAAATGATAGACGCCAGTAACAACAACTCTGTGGCGGCTAAAGTTATAGATGTCACTACTTAACATCTCGCACTGACGGTCTGATCGAGTTGCAGTGGGGAGGCCTTTTACCCTCAGACTTTACCATCAATACCTTCCAGCAACTCCTCTTTTCTCGGACGACGGGACTATTCATTCACTAATCTAATCAGTAAATACTATATTCTCGTCATCTTTTGCACATACACAACGATTGAAATTGAACTTCTCAATTTCTCCAATCCTGCATGAATAAGTGTGTATTCGCGTTGCAGTCTCAACTATGTCCCATCGAAATGAAGAGATACGACTTCGTCTCTGCTGACATTGTTTGCAGGAATATGGACCATAATTCTGCTTCCTTAGCTGGTATCGCGTTCATGATAACCCAAATAAATGAAATAGTACAGAGTATCACTGGCACATTAGCCCATCCTGAAACTAGACGAGTATCATAGACGGAAAAGATACTTGCTTCTTCGGTCCAGGCGGCTCACTAGCTTGTTTTAAGAATCTACAGTTGTATATTCTTGATTAACAGACTTGATGTAATGTTTATTTGGACGAAAACGATCAAGGCATTGATGAATTTTGCCTAATATTCATCAAAGTGATTTAATGGTGAAGCCAAATGCTTCATTTCAGCCCTATCAGTAGAGCATGTGGGCCCCGATAAGTTCCAAGAGATCCCCGCCATGCCTTACTCCATACATCTTCGAAATTTGAAAGACGAATCTTTCGCGTCTCGACATCAATCTGAAGGAAGCAGAATAATCATTCGCAATTATCAGACGAGAATTGTATCTGTTTGATAGAGCGATCATTGCATATTTTATAAGCTATATTTAGAACGATCAACTTGATCAACATAATTTCGAACATTGGTGAGAAAGATCAACATCGGTTCTATAAACCCGAATTCTCGAAACCTTGTTTCATGTCTTGCCTCCTCTCGACATCCAGAATGTTTCGGAGAATACTTCGGACGTCGATGACGACATTATTACCACCCGACAGAGGAAAGTTTTGCTCAAGAAAGCGTCTCCCAATATTTTCTGCATCCTTCAAGTCTCGAGCATCCTTTTCCGAGGCATTTGCCGCAACAGCTTGCATGAGGTCCTCTCCCCGAGCTGCTAACAATATCAGATCCTCAGCTCTTTCGACAATAGCAGGATCTATTCCATTCATTGCAGCACAAGAAGTACCAAAGCTGGAAGTACTTCTACCTAGCACAAAATTGTACAGGTATGTAACTTGATTATCAGCTAGGTCAGATTGTTTGTTCACATGAACATCCATATGACCAAAAGCCAATTCCGGTCTCGGGGACAAATATCCGTTCTCGAATATTTCGTGGAAATGGGTTGCTCCGAGAACTTTTGGTCGACGCGATTCAAGCCCAAGAAAATATTCAAACACGCCACACGCCAGACCAGCGCCATCTGTTGAATTGGTGCCTTTACCAAACTCATCAATAATCACAAGACTACGGTGAGTTGCAAGGGTTGTACAGAGAGCTATCTGTTGCAGGTCAATCATGAAGGCGCTCTGGTTTCGGGAAACACTTTCACGAGTAGTTATTCGAGTTAATATCTTATCCGCAAGACCCACAATCGCCTTGTCCGCCGGGACATAACTGCCAATATGGGCTAAATAAACAATCATAGCGGTTTGCTTGAGATAAACACTCTTTCCAGAATAGTTTGGCCCAGTCATAAGGAGCATACTTGGGCCTTCGATGCGTTCAGAGTCCTGGTAAGTACTCGAGGAAGGTTCTTGATCGGTTGGAATGGAGTGTCCTGATCCGCCCACAAGGTAACAGTCGTTTGGTACATATGATGGTACTGTAAGCTCTTGAAGAGGATGTCGTCCGCCTCGTATGTCAATTACATTGGCTTGGGTGATAGTTGGTGGATTGAAACGATATTTAATAGCCCCGAGAGCCAGTGCAACGAGACTATCAAGTTCTCCGCATAGATCTGACACTGTGACAAGAAGATTCTCCTGTTCCAGTACACGCACAGTGAGGTGATGTATGATTTCGATCTCTCTGTCTAACAAATGACGCATAATCAGTATGTGCTGTAAAACGATGTCCGAGTAACTCACCAGTAATCATACTATACATATCGCCAATATACTCGTCCATTTGTCTCATATGCCCGTTCTTGTAATATACTTTCTCGTCACTGACAAACGTTTGAGACCATTTATCGTCGTCGGTTCCCTCACCTTTATATCTTCCTTCGCCTGTATTAGGATCAAGCCGTACCACTGTCAGAAAGCCGAGTTGTGGGAAATATATACAATTTTCGACATATTGGCGAGCCCATTCAGGTATATCATCTGACATTTTCTGTTGGACTTCGGTAAGGAGGCTTTCCATTCCATCATATGTTCTTTTCATCCCATCTAGCTCCGGGTCTACACCCTGTCTGACAGTGACACGATGTTGTTCAGCCGATCTCTCAAAGTCTATCGTCCTGGTAATTGCTTGACCAATACCAAGAAGGTCATTGAGGCGAGTTTCACCGAGGAGCTAGTATAATGAATCAGCTTATATAGTTTGGGCGATGTAGGCATTCTCACCTTGCCAGCAATGATAGTCTTATCGCCTGTAAGCCCTCGCAATGCTTCTAGTATCTTGAGCGAATGGTAGGTAAATGAGAGAATGCTTCCCCAAACGCCACTTTTGATTGCTGTTGCCTTCGTAGAACCTCCGCTTACACCTTTCTGAAGATGTATTACCACAGTTCTGATATCTTTGACACTCTTCAAGCTCCTTTGAACTTCTTGTAATATAGGTCCATTCTCTGGAATTAAGAAAACACCTATTGTGAAGAGTCTTTCCTTGATTACCGGAATATCTATGCTTGGCCTCATGAACATCTTCCGAAGCTTCTGCTTACCCTGCGGTGTGCTAGCCAAATGATAGAACAGACCAAATACAGATAGGCTCTCTTTTGATCCCGAAGTAGACTTATTTGGACCTTGCATATGAGAGTTCGGATGAGACTCGGACTGGATGATTTGGAGTGATGATAATGTGTCTGCATTTACGAACATCATATCCGTTAATGAAAACATCTCAATGGTACGGACCCTGAATGCAATCAATGCGGCCTCGTCATTAGGTAGATAATCCACACTTCGTCGTCGTCCGAGGTAATTAAGCACCGCACCGGCACAGCCAACCTACAAGAACGTTTATTAGTAAAACCATGTGGTGCTTGTTGTTCTCACTTCAACACTCATTATAAGCCAACTTGCATCTGCTTGATTGAAATTGAGATGCAATGCCATTTGGACGAAGAAAGCAAGATGCACGACCTACCGAGATTCTGCTCTCCAAATCAATCCAGCCTGCGAGTCTCATGAATCTTCCTTGACGACCCCTACCACTTAAGTCTGCCTGATCATGAGTGTGATTTCCAGCCAGTTCATCATCAGGTGTAGCGAGCATCATTCCAGCGCCCCTTGGGCCTTCAATGCCCAAGCTAGCCAACTTGTTCTTTGCGGTCTCATAATAAAATTCTGAGGCCGGTCGAGAATCAAGAATATATGAGCCGAATATATCATCTGTAAGGTCAGCTTAGCATTAATTAGCGCCTGTCACCAAAAACCTACTAGCATCTCCTCGGTCGATACCCTTGGCATCTTTTTGAAGATGATCTTCAAGTGCCTCCTCGCAACGGGTGCTTATTAAGATTACTTTGATATCGTTAGTATAAACAATATTTAAAGGCTTTCATAAGACCCTACCAGTAGGATCTACGTGAACTTTTAGAGTGTCGATTATGTCAAGTCCAGCCATACTGATATCTGCCATCATGCATAATTTTTCTTCTCTCGCGAGATAATATGCGCACCCTACTGTACCACGCCCTTTCAATTCGACAGCCATGACAACTTCATTCATGGAATCGCAATCTTCGCGTTCTTGAATATCAGCCTCGTTCTCTCCCGGATCGAAAATGTTGACCTCATCTTGCACTGATGGTGGGGAAGCTATATGTGCTGATTTTGAGTTCATCGATATTCTATTACAAGGGGAAGAAAGGTGCATTGAGGACGAATGATATCCATCCCGTGGTACCGAACTAGCTGTTAATGAGCTTGACCCAATTCTTGACGATTGTCCTTGGGAGGATGACTGATGGTCAGATCCCGCACCGGAAGTAACTCGCCGACGCTTAAACGGTGGCATGCTGATGCTTCTTCTAAGATTTCAAACAATGTAATAAAATAAGGGTGGTGAGAGGGAATAATAAAGAAGGCGAATAAATTTTGAAATAAGTCATGATGAGGTTCGAAATGTGAAAGGTGAGAGCACTACGGAAGTGATTTTGCCAAGCGAAAATCATTCCTCCCTCATTTGTACAACTTTACTACTTGTAGATACGTACATAGCCAAAGACGCTTGAGATGTTCAGGCCAGTAAACATAGTAAATTGTTTCAATACTACCAAGGTAGTAGATACAGACTCAAAATTGGTTTGTTTGAACAGTATATGAATTTTTGTGCCACTTCATGATGTTTGTCCGCAACCCAAAATATCACTTCTTCAACTATTTGCAACGTAGTCCCCCAGCCAAGATCATTCATATCACAGCATCCACAGAATCAATATCATACAACACCCCCGATATTCGCCCTGTCAATCTATAACTCTTTTGCTGGAATTTGTTCCCCTCCTTCCCTGACCCACTCCGCAAATTCGTGTCTTTGCTTTCTTATGTCTATGAAGCTTGGTCGACTCTCAAGAACTCTGAAGGGGTTTCCAACAAAATCTTTGTCTACCTCTCCATCTGCATTCATAAAACCTTTCGCTCCCTCTCGCTCAATTTTACCTGCCCAAACGCGCCATTGTATAGGTCGCAATTCTGGTGTGCCTAAAACCAAGCCAAGGCAAACAATAAAAATCGATACTATCGTCTCGATAGATATGTCGATTGGTAAAGAGGCAGTAGTGGTAGCGTGAGAGGAGATAGAGGATAGATGGGCAGTTCCTGTAGACTGTAGGGCCGAGTGTTCGTGGGCAGAATAGCAGCTGAAGGAACAATATCTATCAGTGATTGCAGGATCGTTTAGATTTTGGTATACATACGCGTGCGTGAGAAACAGCAAGCCGAGGCCCGTAATTGATTTGGAGATCCAAGTCATGTTGGAGAATGTGGTGTTTTGTTAAAGATTGTGGGTTGTTCAAAGTTCCAGCTTGTCCTCGTTAGTAAGGTGCGGCTCCTTGGGAACCGTAAGCGCGATAGTGGGCAATCGGGTTGTCTTTTACAGATATGCGAGTAAAATATTACAGAAACATTAATGTAGCACAAATGAATCACAAAAGTAATCTGCATGTAAAATTTATGTACTTGTTATGGCTTTTTTTGCATTTCAATTCTATCCCAGTCCATGATTATCATCATTTCGTAAAACTTATTTTTTATCATAATAATTTATTGACTGATCAGAGTCAAAACCTCCATAGGTAACGTGGAATCATTTCAGGAACAGGAACGAAGCGGAAGTCGAAGGTAAAACCTAGACGTAATGATGCTTTATAGCTTTTGCATGGCAGCCTATTCTTATTAGCCGTTGTCAATGGGATCAGGAGGGGCATAGCATACAATATCGGACGATTGGACATAGTCCTCGAACTCAGCAATCTCCTCTTGCAAATCATCAAGACCAATCTTGTCATCCTCAATGATCAAGTTGATCTGCAACTTCTTGATACCGAAACCAACAGCAACAAGTTTAGAAGCACCCCAAACGAGACCATCCTTCTCGATGCCACGAACAGCAGCCTCCAATGCTGCCATGTCGGTCTCATCATCTATAAATCGATCAGTATTGTTATCAGCGTCAAATCAGAAACCCGACTCACCCCATGGCTTGACATCCATTGTGACGACAGACTTGGCAGCAGGCTTGGTCTTGCCCTCCTTCTTCTTCTTGTACTCGGCCAAACGCTCCTCCTTGATTCTGAGAGCCTCCGCATCTTCTTCCTCGTCATCACTTCCGAAAAGATCGACCTCATCATCATCCTCTTCCTCGGCAGCTGGGGCCTTTGCTGGGTTCAAGGTAGCCTCGGTCTTATCTGGGCCATATGAAGTGTATTCCTTGGAAGCATCACCTGGGAGGGTACCGAATTCCTCGGTCCAGGAGTTGATGTGCTTGTACCATCTAGCAGCGTGGGGGAATTTTGCGGCATCTGGGGCGGATTGCTGAGCCTTGAAGACGGCTACATCAGCTTGGCTTGGGGAGTATCTATAATCTCTAGTTAATATTTTCTTCGATCATTTTCATGGTAAATTGTTGCAATGGAAGTAGAGAAATCAGAGATGCAAAAAAGCTTGGTATATCGCCATAACACGGTTCTTGAGGCCGCTCAGTAACACGGACCAATGTTGCTCATCATATTAGGAATTGTTCGAGGAGGGGGTACTGATGCGCAAATAGACACATCGTGGATGCTGCCTCGCAGGTAGAAATGAAAAAAAGACAGATATCAAGATAAGAAATCAAACACATACCCAACGATGTATGAACGAGTCTCCAACAGTTGTTGAGCACTAGGTCAAGTCAATTTCTGCGCTTTTCAAAATTCTTCGACTCGAGATTATCTATCTCTATCGTGGCGGGGAAAAGCTTACTGGTAAGACCAGCATCGTTGACAAAGTCTGTGAATCCCATTGTGAAAAATTTAAGAAGTCTTCTTTTCTTGATATTAAACGGTGAGAATTTTTAATCTTTTAAGAAAGGAGGAAAACAAACAAAATTGGTGATGTTGATTGTGATGAGGAGTGGTGGGGGGTGAGTCAAATTTTGGAAGAAGATGGAACTTCAAAAATGGTGCTTTCGGCTGCTTTCCACAGTGTGAAAATTTGATTGGCTCAGGCGTTGTCTGCAATCGCTTAATGCGAAATTAAATTAGAGACAATCGAGCGATACCTAGTGGCGGGGTGGGATCAGGCTTAATTTTCTTGCCCAATGGTTACCGTTAAAATAAGGCACAAAATGATTCCGCTTACCTAAGCTCCCGTAGAGACACAGCTAGTGGGGGGAGATCGCGGGAAGCTTCCACGTTCCGTTCAGAATGCTCGAGACTATTCTAGATAGAATTTATAATTCACGTACATATATATATATATATACTTTGTCTTAAGATATGTTCATTGATATTAATCTTTCTCCCTTTTTTCTTTTCCTTTTATTTCTTTAACCTGAAGACACTCAATCTCACGATAATGAGAAATATCAAAGTATTACGACAAATTGAGAGCTCTTCTCGCCTTTTCAGAGGAGCTCCTCTACAAGTTCGAATCGGACGACCATTGACCAAATTCCCATTACATAGCAGTAGCCATGCATTTACCTATAGAAATATCGCACCTCTTACTGCGCTTCGCACATACGCAAGTGGACGTCCACACCCTCCAGGCGGCACGCACCGCATGGATATGGGTGGTGGAGAACAAAAGTCTGCCCTAGAACAATATGGTGTCGATTTGACTGCGCGAGCAAAGGAGGGAAAACTAGATCCGGTCATTGGTAGAGATTCGGAAATTAACAGAACTATACAAGTACTATCGCGGCGAACGAAAAACAATCCGGTATTGATCGGAAGTGCAGGAACGGGAAAGACAGCTATATTGGAGGGCTTAGCACAACGGATAGTCAGAGGCGATGTGCCTGAAAGTGTGAAAGACAAGAAAGTGATATAGCTGGATCTTGGACAACTTATTGCTGGGGCGAAGTTTCGTGGTGATTTCGAGGAACGATTGAAGTCGGTCTTGAAAGAGGTGGGTATCCATTTCATCGCGGTGGTTGCTTGCCAGTAGATATAGTCGTTTTGTTATGGTTCTCAAGTACGCACGACCAAGTGGTACACTTGAGACACGTACAAGCTGTCGATATAGGCCTTATAATTAGACCTGCTTACAATGCTATATCTCGCAATACAAAATGCACACTGTGCAAGACGTACCATCTTTTGCTTGAAATTGTAAATATTTGAAATTGTTCTAACAACTCCTAGGTCCAAGAAGCTCATGGCGGCGTGATTCTATTTGTGGATGAGTTGCACACGTTATTAGGATTAGGGAAGGCTGAAGGAAGTATTGATGCAAGTAACCTGTTGAAACCTGCACTATCTCGGGGTGAATTGCAATGTTGCGGAGCAACCACACTCAACGAGTATCGACTAATCGAGAAGGATGTCGCTCTGGCAAGACGCTTTCAGCCTATTCAAGTCAAAGAACCGTCGATTCAAAGTACAATCAGTATATTGAGGGGCATCAAGGAAAAGTATGAAGTGCACCATGGAGTTCGCATTACAGATGGGGCTCTGGTTGCTGCTGCTACCTACAGCAATCGTTACATCACAGATCGTTTCTTACCCGACAAAGCGATTGACCTTATGGATGAAGCTGCAAGTGGTCTGAGGTTACAGCAAGAGAGCAAGCCGGACGATATTATGCAGCTTGACCAAAAGATCATGACGCTACAGATAGAGCTCGAGAGTCTTAGAAAGGAGACAGATATCGCCAGCAAAGAACGACGCGAAAGGCTCGAAAATGATCTGAAAGAGTGTCAAAAGGAAGCGAAATCGCTGACAGAGAATGGAGGCAGAGAGGTCTGAAATTGATGCTATCAAGAAGACAAAAGAGGACCTCGAGAAAGCTCGCATTGAGCTTGATCAGGCACAGCGCGAGAACAATTATGGCCGCGCTGGAGAGCTAAGATATTCCGTAATCCCATCATTAGAAGCAAAGTTGCCCAAAGATGGAGAGACAGGCCCTTCATCCGGAGGTACTTTGATCCACGATGCTGTCACTGCTGACGACATTGCGGCTGTTGTATCACGTGTCACTGGTATTCCTGTTACAAAGTTAACTTCGGGGCACGCTGAGAAGCTTATTCATATGGAAGACACTTTGAGACAGTCCGTTCGTGGTCAAGATGAGGCACTCAGATCGGTTGCAAATGCGGTCCGGATGCAACGAGCCGGCTTGAACGGCGAAAATAGACCACTTGCATCGTTTTTCTTTCTCGGTCCGACCGGCGTGGGAAAAACTGAGCTCTGCAAAAAGATGGCAAATTTTTTGTTCTCGACTGAATCAGCTATCGTTCGTTTTGATATGTCCGAATATCAAGAACGTCATACAATTAGTCGTTTGATTGGTAGTCCCGCCGGATATGTTGGATATGATGATGCTGGACAACTTACTGAAGCTGTCAGAAGAAAACCTTATGCAGTTCTTCTTTTCGACGAATTTGAAAAAGCCCATCGAGATATCTCTGCTCTCCTTTTACAAGTATTGGACGAAGGGTTTTTGACGGATAGTCAAGGCCACAAAGTTGATTTCCGCAACACTTTAATCGTCTTCACCTCCAATTTGGGCGCAGATATCCTCGTTGGTCTCAACCCCTCGCATCCATATAAAGAAGAGACAAATGGTGATATTGCACCTTCTGTCCGCAACGCTGTAATGGATGTTGTGCAACATAATTGTAAGTTTACCTAGCCTCCTGTGCGATCTTTTTTTATCACTCATAACTAACAATTATTACAGATGCCCCTGAATTTTCAACCGCATTGACGAATTTATAATATTCAAACGTCTTTCTAACGAGGCTCTCCGAGATATTGTCGATATCCGACTCTCAGAACTCCAAAAGAGACTAGACGATCGACGAATCACACTTGAAGTAGATCAAGAGGTGCGACAATGGCTTGCTGATAGAGGGTATGATCCTAGGTTTGGTGCCCGTCCGCTCAACCGACTCATCTCCAAGGAGATCGGCAATGGACTGGCCGATAAGATCATCCGGGGAGAATTGAAGACTGGCGAAAATGCGGTAGTGAAGATTAATGCTGAAAAGAATGGTTTAGCTATTGAGAGTACTGGAGCTGTGGAAGTGTAAAATATTGGGTAAAAATGGATGGTGCATGCATGATGGGTTATGAAAAATGGGTTTAGCGGCATGGTATGGCGGATCTCTGCTCTTGTTTCTAGGTATGGGCGTTCGAGGATGCATGGATATGATACCAGTAGAAGTATAATCTCAAATTCAAATACTTTATTATTGAACCTAATCTCTTCTGTTCTATGATTATCATTATATGTAGAATCAATGAGACCCCTTGTGATCCCTCTCTCTGCCTCGCCCCTGACTCCCTCAAGGTTCTTCCTACATCAAAATAAGATGATTGTACGATATCGACAGAAAATATAAAACTATTTGCGTGTATGATATCAATGCAGTCTACAAGAATATATGATTGTATGAAATCATTACAATATTATTATAATATGGGAGTTGAGTGGGAAGCAACAACTTCGAGCTACTTAGATGAGTCAGTATATTTTAGTTATATTATATTCAATGCCTACCAGCTATTTGGGAGTTCTGTAGTCATCCAAACCTTGCAGGTATTTGTACGGAAGAAGACAAGAATGATCGACTTAATATCTTATGCTCAATTCATAATTTCTAGCCTGGTTTTGTCATGAGTATGACGGCCGTGTCTCCATTCGGCACCTCTTTCGTGACCACAAAACCACACCTTTCATATAATCGCCGAGCTCCAGAATTTTCTGACTCTACTACAACACTGCATACAAACGCTTTGCCCTGCACCGCTGCTTCACCTCCTGCATATTTCAAGGCCGCTTCAATAAGCGCTTTCCCGACTCCTTGCCCCCGAACATCTGGTAGAGTAAATACTCCGTTCATTCGATAATGCATTGCTTGTTCGTTAGATGTCTTATCACCAATCGCTTGCCATGGATTTCCAAGGACCGCCATGTCTTCTGGACCATAAATCAATGGGCCAAGCATAGAAACAGTACCGATGATTTTAGAATTTTCAAGCGCGAAATATGTAGCTGCATGTGGATTTGCAAGACGTTTGTACCATACTTCGTCTGAGAACGCTGCTTCCGTACAGTAATTGGATGCGAAAGCTTCAGGTGCGACTTGCAGAGATAGAAGCCTAAATTCTTTGTACTTTCCGACATAGGACCGCACAAGATCTTCACTGGATATATGTATGATTTCGTAGGTCATTTTGACGTTTTAATGTGTGAAGTAATAAGCTTTGCTATCGTTGATAGATAGGAAGAACGTTGCACTGAAATAGTGGTACACTGACACCACCAAATATCAACAAAATGAGTTTCTCTTCTCGGAACCACTCTCTGAGTAAACCTATTATATGATGCCAATTGGGAAAGCAGGTTTGAAGAGAAACACCAACACTTAATTATGTTAGTGCGAATTTTCCCCTGCTGATGTCCTCGCGTGACTGGCCAAAAGCCTCGAGATAAATGCTGGGAGCTGATAGTAAATAGATAAGCGCCAACAGGGGGGAAGAACACCAAAACCTGTATCGCTAAACGATAGCCAGTCATTCAGCCAGGATACATCAGAATACTACCACGAACAGGTTCCCCTCATGTTTCACAGCTCCAAAATCAGCCTTGTGCGCCTCTCGACGGCAGCATTCACAGCACAGCCTACACATATAAACTCATGAGGTTTGCCCATCATGATTTCAATCTTCATTTTCTTGCATAGTATGCATGCGAAGCCTATACAACATGGAGAAAGACGGAATATTCGCGGACTTCGACCAACAAGTTGTATATGAAGACAGCCTCGATCGAGCGGCAGATGAAAATACCCGCAACTTTGTTGTTGAGTTTGGCAAACTCGAGGCTCAAATTGCCTTTGATCTGAACGCAGGCCAAGTAAAAAGGCTCCTAGATGAACCTTCCACGCAAGCCGAGCGCGATCGACCTCCTGTACGATGGATGTAAGTGATGGTATCAAACCTGCAAGAGTGTTTGCTAATATGCGACAGCAATATCTGGGGTCCAAACCGACAGACTGATATAATAGATGTTCTTGCACATCGGTATGGGTTTTCTCCAAGGCTTCTGGCTATCATCAAAACTCTGCCACCGAATAATCCGACCAGTAAGGATCATCGAGTCAGTTACAAAGAGAAGTTGTTCGAAAAGGATGATATCGAAACGGGTAGAGCGAGTATGAATATGCCCAGAACACATACAACTCATCGTGCGCCCCCAGCAACCACGAGCCATTATACCATTGCACAGCAAATGATCAACTACCAGTCCGTTGACGTAGGAGCACGTTTCATGTGCATTGGCGCGAATTGGATGCATGATATCGATACACCGATGAAGGAAAAAGATAATCCAACAGTTCAAAATCTATTCAGAGACAGAGCCCAGTGTAGGCTCTGGTCTTGGCTTATACTTTGCGACGATAATACAGTTATAGCCGTACATGAAGATACAGGGCCAATTAAGCCGACGAAGAAGGATCTCAAATCACTGCGCGGCAATACTCTGAGCGTTTTAGGCCAACTTTCTAAGTCGGGTCATGAGACGGCGGATCCAATATCCATGCAGTCTGTCCGACAAGTTCTGGACTTGAATACAGCGCACGCAAATAGCGGAATCGAAGGAGCAAGTAATCTTTTTTACTATCTATTTGATGACTGGCGAGCTGTCTACAAAACAGTGGCTTTTTTCACGGGAAGTTTAAAAGAGTTGGAGACCTCTATATTCGAAGACATGAAAAGAAAGTCCAATAAAGGTCCTGACCTAAGAATCATTCCTCATCTTCACTTCCTTAGCAAAAGCATTCGTCAGATGCAGCATCTATACAACGGCTACCATAACCTCATAACCAGGATTCTGGAACCCAAGAACTCTAGTACGTGGGAAGCTGGCACACCTGACGGCTCATTCATGACTCAAAGTGGGAGAAATGGGGTCAAGCTAGCTGCTTCTGCGAGTCAAAGATTCGAGAGACTCGGCGATCGCTTAAAATTATTAATTCTGAGCCAAACTTCTGAGCTTCTCGCCGAGAAAGAGGCATTGGGTACTACCGTGAGAATTCCCTTCACTGTTATTAATCGACTGCAAGTAAGCTAACACTTCTCAAGTATTTCAGCATTAATTCCCAAAAAGACTCTCAAGCTACTGCCCGCCTCAATCGCTCAGCTACCCTGCTCGCCAAACTATCAGTGCTCTTCCTTCCCGTATCACTTATGACCTCTTATTTCTCAACCGAGCTTAGTGATATTGAAGGCAAGTATTCGCTGTATGATTACTGGGTTGGGTTTGCGGTAGTGGTATCAGCATCATTCGTCTGCTTGTTCTTCTTCAGCAAGTTGTTGATGTGGGTAACAGAGACCCTGGATATATGGGCGAAGGCCTTAGGAAAGAAATCTAGGCATATCTTTGTCAGTCTTCTGAGGGGCTTTGAGATGAAAAAAAATAAGGCTAAGGGGGAAGGAACAATTAGTGCTAAAGATGACGATGACGTGGATGATGAGTAATGATAATTTGATTTATGGACTGACTTGGGTATATGAGGTTTACTTAGGGCAAAACTTTGGGACGGGAATAATGAGATACATATGGATTGCATTACAAAGGTTGGGTCAAACGAAAGCTAGGTGTGGCTCTTTTCCTGAAAGTTTCAGTTATGCAATGGGATCATATTCTGCATACTGCATGTATCATAGTTATCATTGATTTTTGCCATAATCAATATATATATTTATAAGAGATTAAGAAGAGACGAATAACTTCTATTGCTTCAAAATTACAGTAAGGCACAACTCCTGGAAAATCATATGAGAGCGTCTGGCTTCGACAGAGCATAAATTGTTTGTGGAATTAACAGTATCAATACTACATGACCTCTGCAAATTTCCAAGCTAGGAAATGCTACTTTTACACCAGTTATCGGAGACTCGAAGAAAGATTTTGCTTCTCATCTATTTCGGAGCATCTCATTCCTAACCTGATAGACTTTGGTGCAGAGATATATACCAATTTCGAAATGCAATACCAATGCGATGCGTTGCATCCGTATTCATTGTCGAGAGAGCAAGTAAGCACAGCGTTGAGAAAGGAGACATCGATGCCCATCTCGATCGGGATGTTTCAAATTTGGATTGCGGTCTGGATGTGAAAATACCCGATGTCCCACAGGTTTCATTGTGTGAATCCTTGACGATAATTTATTTATCCACCTTAAACCCTTAAATGTTGGCAAGAGTTCAAGAATTAGATGCTTCGAATATTATCGATTATGAAGGCAGATTCAATCTTTAAAGTAAGTTCGATCTATGAAAAGTATTTAATCTACCAATGGAATCCAATCCATGCAATGGATTCATCAATCTATGCAGTAAACTTAATCACTCAAAAGTCGCACATTTCAGTCTGCACTTTGCACGATTGAAGCCCCTCCTACCAATAGACAAACCAGACAACTATAGATTTAACCCCCCGACTCTCGTAAAAGATATCCGGGACCATATTAGATGAGAACTACTAATAGAAAATACCATATTCCCAACCCACCTACTCCAGGTGTAAACAACCGCAAACCCCCAAAATAAAAGAGAGCAGAGCAGAAATGGAAACATCGACGAACCGATGGGATAAAGCACAAGTCGATAAAATAGAAATATACTGCGCCGCGTTTCTCGGCTGCAGTTTCTCTTCCACATACATTGTATGTCTACGTATGCATCTCACCTCAGATGTATATCGAGAACTTCCTCGTCTGCGTGTGCTCCCGCGATTGTTCCTTCATTTCTTTTTCCCGGTGATACTCCTGGCTTGCATCTCCTGGAATATCTAGGAGGGTAATATAGAATCTAGATACACCAGATACTTACTTATACATCTCAATATCTATCCGAATATGGATCTAACAACGGAGTCAAGATCCTGATATCCGTCTGTTGTTTCACTTGATCACGGAGGTAGAGAATCCATTTCTCACTGTATTCTCATGCTTGCACAACAGATGTCATATCTCACCTACGAAGTGTCTTTTTATGGGTAGGTAGGAAGAGTACAGCAGGAATAGAAATCTAGAGTTTAACCGCCCACCGCTATTCTGCTGTCGGGTCTGCCAAGGTTCCCTCACATCCACTTATCATTCCATTTCACCCTAAGACTGTTTGATACATCAGCGCGCTGCGCTCCAGAAGAACCCAACGTCAGCACACATCTTGCATCTTCCAACTCGTCTCTACGAGTATCCAGCGGGCATTCTTTGCGAAATATCCAACCGCGCATCGCAAAGAACAGCCATGCGTAACGCGTGTTCTTTTACGTCCAAATCTCACTCGTCACTCTTAGCACTTCCCCGTATCCGATCCAGCTCGTACGATGTGTGTCTATCGTGTGTGCTAACTATAGCAGCTTGCTGCTAAAAGCTATCTAGAAAATACTCACGCACTTCGTAAAAAGGCACCAATCACATCGCCGTCCTCTCACTGCCGATCTTCAGATTCAGCCTTGCAGATATTAGCTATCCTTATCTTCTCTCTCTCTTCATGCAACGGACACGGCACAACGCGCCGCTCCGCACACATCGACCTGGCCAGTTCTTTGGTGCGATGTTAGTCTCCCAAAAAGCAGAAAATTAGACTTCAAAATCGTATCCCGTCGAATGAGATAAAGGGCGATGCTTGACGCACGAGAGATAAGCGAATTCCCAGTTTGCGTTTGCACATGGCAAATACTGGAAATCCCATCTCGTGATGATGAATTTTCAGGTCTAGCCGCCAAATCTGGAATGAAAAATCGTCGATCCCTCAGGCTTCTTCCACAACAGTCGATGGTGCTAGCAATAGCATTGCTGATGTGAGCACGACATACCGCGCCCCGAACTTCCTCTTCGGGACTTACCTCGCCTCGCCCCCGCATGCATCCTCATCCTCGCTCGCCGTTTGTCTTGTTCTCGAACGAAAAGCTTCCCTGAAATGTCAAATCATACCATGTCGGCTTACGATCCTTCAGAAAGAGATTGATTGTTTGGGGGCTCATCTCACTCACCCATCGTGGCTACTGCATGCCAACACGCCAACCTGTCCGCTGTTGTCAGATCTTTTTCTTCCTTGTGCTGATCCACAACGCTGTTGGTGGCTGACGCTGACCCGGGAGTTTCATTAAGGTTATTTTTTTTCTTCTTAGGAATCTTTGAATGCTTGGAGGCTTGGTACTGAGATGGACTGCCGCTATTATCTGACCAAGTGCTAGAGAGCATTGGTACCAGACATTTTTTCTCTTCGCATGCATTAGTTCAATGAACAGGTCGATTCTGTCAAACTACGGATGAAAGATGGGCCACAATAGGCCAGCAACAATCACAAGAAACGACCGTAGAGCTGAATAGGGGTTGGTAAAGAGAGATCTTTACTCGTTTGAATATTCACACCATGATTTAATTCACGGTGTACTGAAAATGGTTAGGAAGGAAAACAAGGCCAAGACTTGGACGAGATCAAAGTCAAAGGTCTCGCCCCGTACCAATTTTCATTAATCAATCGTAGGTTACAAGATACCAAAGTAATTAAACGGTTCATGCCCATAAAATACAGGCTTTTAAGCCTTCATCCCACATGCGATAAGAATCCAAGCAGGCCAATTAGATAGGGGAAGTGTTCAGAGAAAAAAGGTTGCCTGATAAGTATTCTGGACTGTACAGTGTGTGGAGTGCTCCATAGACTCCATAGAGTCTCCATATAAGGAGGCTTTTTCCAACCGTCGATCTCTTCCTAGACATTAATCCCTACTTGTTAGTGCCAGCGGGAAGAGGCTTTGAGAGGCTCCTGCTCCGTACACTACTGAGACCTTAAATGAACAGGGATTCAACAAAAGATTCCATACCCCAGGATATAGAATAACAGTGGTGGCTTCTGGTAAGGCTTTCTTGACCATTCTCGCCATTATAACTAGTCTCCAGATCCGTACGAGTAACCCTGCTGGCCTGTCCTGTCCTGAGAATTTTTGGATTTGTAACCATGCGCGCCATGCTTGCAATGGAAGCGAACCAAGATGGGTTCCACAGGATGTCACCTTAAAAGCGACAACGTGTAATCTAAAATCCTTGTGTTGGGTAGCCGCGGGGAAAGAGATGTTGCAGTGCATACGCCTACCCACACCCCTGGCCCAGAGAGATGAGTAAGAAAATCTTCACTCTTCTGTTTATCAATCGTAACGACTTAGCCAGTCAGGGAAAGGGGAAGATACACCAAGGATGGAAAATACCGGCTATCTTATGAAATGAGTGATTTTATGACTTTGATCTGACATTATCGTTACCCTCCATCCCTTTTCGACACTGACTCGAAGTCGAAGACCCAGGCTTGAGCAAAAGTCGAAAGTCGAATATTGAAATATTGAAATCGGCAAGTATCGTTCCAACTTCCATCTAGACCAGTAAACGAACATGGTTAAGCCGTCTTGGTCTTACCCACTCAGTTACCGTTACTTACCGTTGCCCATCGGAATTCCGACTCCGTGGTTCTTCCCCCCGCCTTCCCCCCGTGCTAGCCGCTCTGACCAGATGTTCCAAGTCAAGACATTTATCTACTCACGCGCGAATACTTGGGTAATTTCGTCCGTATCTACGAAATGTAGTATAGTTCTTAATTCTTCTGAGTTTTGACCTTCTGACTGGGTATCCAACACGAATAGCGTACCAAGTAATCAGGCTTTTGGTACAGATCTGGAAAGGTAGTGTCGATGCTCGAAAACTAGCTTGTCTGCATGTCACTCCGGAACCATCTGAATGTGAGTGCAACGTAACTTAGCCCTGTCGATACTTTCGAGTTGAACTTGAGCCGTCTCGCCACTGCAAACCTACCGACACTAAGGTAAGGTGGTCTGATATTTTATAAATCAATGAACGATAGCCGCGAGTACCCAATATCAACGCGCACTTAGCTTGTTGAGATCTTAGATCCCAATACAACCATACGTACATGGCGGGGTAGCTCAGTAGCTTCCGATTGATGGCCAGATCTAATGATTAAAGTCTACCCCTTCATTGAAAACCCGTCGATGAACAATATTCGAAAACTTGCCACTCGCACCTCACTTCGGCGAACTCCTTGTGCTAAGGCACTATTGACAGTTTTTGACGTGCTTGGGAGGTGTAGTGGTATTGCAGACGTACCGTACCACGAGTCTCATGTACACATTCGATGCTCGGAGTGAAGTTCCCGGCCTATACTAGAGATCATCATGTGTTTGAAAATAAGTTGATTAAGATATCTGGCTAGAGCTTATTGCCATTAGGTCTTCTTGGAGTCAGTCGATTGCTCGATAATCTATCGGAAGATGGGAACGACATGAAATTTCTTGGTGTACCCCTCAAACTAAAGTGATCGCGTGCAAGCTGCAACACGGTAGTACAGTACCAACACTCGGCCCTCGGATCCTTGGCTACACCTCCCCTATGGTTTTCATCACATGCATAGATAGGTAATTCAAGCCTCAACAACCATTTTCAAGAGTAGGTTACTAAAAAAATAATTTTGGTATCTAATTGCAGAAATCCAGACCTGGTCTTCGTCTCATGTTTATCGGGCCCAAAAGGGCCTCTGGACATAAAACCTCTAAGCCAATAAAAATTAACACCATTTCAAAATGCTGAACGCCATTCGCTATGCTGTGGTATATCGTGATGCCCAATTTCACTCCGTATTTCGTACTTCGTTGAAGTCCGTTTCAAACCAAATCCCACTCATTCAACCGGCACTCCCAAAACTCCTTCTTTACCAATCAGGTAGAGGGGGGGCACCTCGTTGTGCCCTCCATGCATTGCTTCTGTCCACAAAATCCCGGCCGAGTAGCCAGCCCCATCGCTCTAATAAAGGTTGCGAAACTTCCCATAATATCTCATTGTGGGGATCGTCTCCCCATATGATAATTTGCCCCGTGTCATCCGCCTCTCCAATGCAACTTCCAAAGTCCCGAATAAAACTTAGCGCTACATCTCCAGCTAAAGTCATCAGACGTTCTCGCAATGCAGGAGAAGCGATCATATCAATAGCGTAATAGTGAGCTTTTTCGAGTTGTGACTTGTTGGGCTGGAGGGTTGGAGGAAGCATGTCAGTCATGGAGCGCAGAAGGGCGAGATGACGGTCTGGAGAGGAGCCCTCCACAATAGAAGGGTCGGAAAGGAGTGGACGGAAAAGTTCTCGAATCTCAATGCAACATCTTTTGCGATCGTAAGGCACCGTAGCCATCAAGACACTTCAGACCGTTAATACCACCCATAAGCTGCGTCGTCCATAGGAGCTACTAACTTTTGTCTTGAGGAAGATGCCCTAGGTTGTTGGTCGGTAGCGTTGCCGCTGCCGCTGGCTCGAGGGACGCTTAGAGAGGGGTGTTGAAAATTTGAAGGCCCCATTGCAGATCGAGCATTCCGTGTGTATCCTGATGTATCAGGTGAGCTTTGTGAGTTATGTGGACGGAGCCCGGATTGATGTACCATATATGGCTGAGAAGATAAAGCAGCCGAATCGGCATATGCATATGTGGATGGTGAAATCATCGTAGATGTCATTGGTATTGAGCCCATCGACATCATCTCTGAGCTTAAAGAAGCGGGGGGACTACCGGCATTGGAAATAGATGCGCCAGAAATAGATGGGGATAAAGAGTACTGTCGATGATCGGAAGGAATCTGTCCTACTGGTTGAAGTAGGAGACTTTGTGTCGTTGAACCGTATAGTTGCGCCCGAAGAGTTTCGTTCTCTCTTCTAAGTTCGTCATTTTGATATCTCAAGCGCTCAATCTCCTCAGACTGCTCCGAGCTCTGTTCTTTTTGGGCTTGCTCGAGGTTCTTGAGGTGTTCCTTTCTTCTTCGGCCTGGTAAACTCATGATTAGTTTTTAGTTACTCGTCATGTAGATCGTAGAGTGCATACGGAATTCTCTTTGTGCAAGACGATTGTACTATAACTTTTTATTAGTCTCCGTATAGTAGTTGCCTATGGGAGAGCAATATACCTCGCGCTTGCGTTCTTCTTTATCCGCTGAAGAATCCATTGCTGTTGAATAAAAATATTGCCTAGAGTCGTGGATGGTGGACGTGAAAGTGGTGGCCATGGTTGTGTTGGGTGATGCCTAGATGATATATAACAAAAGCGGTTTGGATGGAGAAGGAAAGTGAGTTATATCAGTCATTCCTTCTGGTCCGCAGTCAGTGAGATCATTTTATCCTTGAGCATTTACATCCTACAAAATATGCCTCCTAGGCGCATGGATCCATACCTCTCCCATTCAGGAATGGGTATCGTGCTAATATTCAGCCTTGAATCGCTAGGACTATCCCTGATCTTGACCAGAGGTGGGGGAAGCCACCGCTTTTAACAACAAACTCCACCCGTTATAGTCTTCAGGGATGGGCGTGTATATTCCCATGCGCTTGAGATTTGACTCGACTAGGATTGGTTTCGACATAAGCGAGAAAGTTAGAAACTCATTTCTTGATGATTCGTTGAAGGAATCAAGCGAATGCGAGTTCTGGCTATTGGCTCTAGCTTCACGGAGTGTGTATGTACTCTGTAGAATGCCAAATACAAATTTTATACATGCTTACACAAAGTGATAAATCACCACCTCTTGAAGGAAGGAAGAACCCGCGCACTAATACTTTGCTGTTCTTGTTTGCTTACTTTAGCTTTTCAATGTGTGTATCTTTAGCTTTGTTCTCAGAGGTTTTTTGGTCAACTATCATTACTATCCCAGTATTGTCGTACAAACAGACTAACTTTCAGAGTATTCCTGTGATCTATCAACTGTTGAATCATGAGAACTGCATCTATATGATTAGCTGCACTAACAGACACTTGGAGCTTCAGTATGGGGTTAGAGTTGTTGTTAGCTACGTATCCTGCAAATCCAAACACTCCAAGCCGTGCTATTTTCGCACCGTGACGATGATCCTGGGCTGTATAACTGATGTGTTAACCTCTGTAAGGCTAAAAGTATGATGATCCTTCGAGGTGATTTGTCTAGAGGACCTCAGCTCCATGAAAGCTTTGAAGGTTTTCCAAACCCCGACGGAGCCAATCAAAGCATTGCTCAACACACTAATCAGCAGCTTCGAGCTAAATTGAGCTAAATTAATCCAATCCAGAGCTTCACAAATGGGAAAATTCTTGATTTGACAGCCTACGGATTATGGTAAAGAGCTAGGATTGGATTGGCATCATCACCTTGGGGTCAGATCAACAAATAGTCATCAAGTTTTATGGAACAATGTCAGATTCTGGAGACAATGAACAGCATGTGCCATG